TACTATACTTATCTGTGTTTGGCGTTCTTGTTATGGTAATTACCTCCCGTACTGGCATTCTTCAGTTGACGAATTGCTTAGTCAGGGAATGTTTCGTTAAATAAATCCTTGTTAAGGAATACCAGTCTTGTCAACTCATTTCACTACATAATCAAGATCTCTTTCTGATTTACATATATATTTCACCAGACATGTTGGCCGGATGTGACTGATCAGAAACCAAAACACAAAATAAACAAGTCGTCTTCCGCGCAGATGTATCACATCTGGTCCAAAAAATCCAAAACTGCAATAGCCAATCATGAACAATTCATGAACATTCCCGCCCTCCAAAAAAAATGTCTCTGGGAGTCTATATCTGTCAACACTTCGGCTTCAACACTTCGGCCTCGTTACACGACAGACAGATCAGTGTCGATTTCAACCCTGAAGAAAGGCGTGCGTCAAACCCCACAAATGACTATACTTGCTTTACAAATCTGCTCCAGCCCTATCTCCTGTCCCCAATCGTAACCTCGGACAATCAACCGAAGCAATCGGTCAACTCTCGGCCCTACCGACAGCACCCTTGCACCTAAGCGCTTGTCTTCCTAACGACAAAGGAACCACATATGAACAATTTTTGCACCTTTCACGCAATTAGGTATGCTGACCAATACTCGTTGTTGAAATCTTTGTTTCTTTCCTTTGCAACCATATGCTCCTTATAATAATACGCTTTTATTAAACTTGGTATAATTAATTTTATTTTTATATTAAACTAGACTAGATGTATCAAAACTAGTAATTAAAAGCCAGTGAAATGATGTTTTGAGTCTATTTCATTGCTTGTATTTTTTGTTTATTACCTTACCTGTCTAATGTGAAGTTAGGGACAAAACAATATATGATTCAAATGTAGCATTTATTTATTCTCGGATTACACAAGAGATACAACAAAAATTTACAAGTTTTTCGCGATTTACACATATCCTTGCAAATAATTTTCACAACTCAATTCCCAAATATAGTCTTCTATTATATTTTCGTAATACGATCCTTGGTAGTGGCGTTCAAAGTCCAGTATGTCCTGTATGAGCGTCAACGATATGTAATTTGAGGGGAATCCTGCAGCCCATTTTGCCGTAATTCTTCACCAGGGTCTCAACAGATTCCACACAGCTTTCGGCTTTGTGATTCCCCAGGAAGCCTCGAACCACTGTAACAAAGCTGTTCCACGCTGCTTTGTTCGCCCTAGTGAGCTTCTTGCGGAATTCCTTGCACACTGTGATATTCTTTATTTGTGACAGCTTAGGGAAGAAGTTTTGAAGGTATTTGAAGGATGCTGACTCTTTATCTGACAATTTGTTTCATAAGGCCCAATTTTAAGTGCAGTGAAGGAAACAACAGTTTCCGGGGATCCAACAATGGCTCCCATTTGATGATGTTCCTCCCCACACTGAATCCCGCCTGTGGTAGTTTGCCACGATGTCCCTGCTGTCCCAAAGACAAAGAGAACACGGAAAATTGGTAGCCGCCTTGGAGACTCATCAAGACTATCATTTTTGAAGTCTCTGATAACCTCTCTATCATTTTTGAAGTCTCTGATAACCTCTCAGTCGTACTCTTCCTATTTCAAGGCATCTATCAAGATTTTGACACTGCCAAGTGAGCCAGGGGAAGAAACAGATACATTTTCCCGTTACAGTGCAGTATGACTCGTGGATGAGCAGTCGATGAAGAGGCGCCATTCGCTGGGGTGACAGGCGATTACAATTGCCTCGAACAGACCGGTCATATTGTGACAGAAGCAAAGTCCATCTTGACGAGTGAAAAAGCTTGATAAACACTAGTAACGCTTTCTCTGACCTAAGACTTGCACACTTTCATCTAAAAATTCCACTGCTGGACATTGGATATTGTGAGACCAAGATCTATGAGGTTTTTTTGTTGAAGTAGTATGGATTTCTCTTCTCAGCTGCGCCTCTATAATCAGGATCTATGACTTCATCCTCTTTTAGATTGCTGTTCTCTTCTGAAGACGGCTGCTCTCTCTTGGAGGACTGGGTACGGGCAGTGTGGCACTGAGATAACAGGCGAATTCTTGCCAGCTCGACGTTTAAAAGGTTTCAACATGCAGAAGAAGTAATCTCTTGAGTTGTCAGTTGGTTTCTTCCAAATTCTTAGAATTGCGAATTTCCTCTATTTTCCTCTCTGTACTACCCTGAAAAAGAGCAAAATAAAAATACAAATATTGGACTTTGCTTTATATGAGAACCTAGATTGAAAAGTGTAAACTCTTTGTGTCTATATAGTGTTATTGAAAAATTCTAAAAAATTACATTTTTGATTTTTTTTTTTAATTTCTAAAACTCGTGCGCTGACTACATAATTTTGTGATGCTAATTCTACAATTAATGTAGCAAATTCCACAAAAATACAGAATGTTGAATACTGAACATTCCTAATATTCCGCATTTTTATGTCTCTTGCTAGTGATCCAGTATAGGAAACATTCATGATACTATGGATACTAATGCGCGATGGTTGAAACATATTTAATACATATTTTTCAATAACACTGGTTTAAAAAATAAAAGTAAAAAATATTGAAATTTAAAAAATTCCAAAATTTTACATTTAAAAATTCTACTGTCCAAACAAGCTAAACGTCCCATCTTACCTTATAGAATCATTTTGCAAAGTTCGCAAGTGAAATCAGGTGCCCAGGGTTTTTGTTGACAGGCATGCCTAAATATGCATTGTAGGCATATTTAGCAGATATCGCCACAGAGTACATTTTCACTCTTGTCTTGATATATTCGCAACAGACAGTAAAATTCGTCAGTCAGATGCTTAACAACATCTTGATGCCGTCTGTGACGAATGCATTTATCAACGACAATTTGTCTGTACGTGGATAGCTAGAAGTAAACTAAATATTTATTTTTGGAAAAATGCAAAAAATGTGGCACAAAGTCAAAAGTGAGGATGGGGAAGGCTGGTCATCATCTGTCTTATCTTTAATCTAGCTAACCACAACCACTGACCCAAGCAAACTATAAAATGTTCCTTGCATCAAAATACCACATTCTTACTTATCATTCTTACTACAAACATCATAATACCTCAAGGTCATTATGAAATCCTAACTAGTCCCCATATGTACAATTTGATTGTGGTGGGTGGGGGAGGAAAAAACGACATTTAAAGATGAAGACTCCAATGAATATTTACAATATGCATAATACTATATATACAAGAAACTAAACGAAATGGAGTTAGTAATAAAAGCCCCCACAATCCTTAATTGTGACAGAAATATCAGTTAACTGGACAAAATTAATGCGGGACTTGTATGAATTAAAAACCAACTATATATTCATTCAGACACAACAATTACGAAAGAACACATTAGAAAAACGTGTCCCCCCACCAGAGAACTGACATTTCTGGTCAACTAACGGGGGAGAGGATGGGTAATTAAACTAAAGAAAGTGGGGCCAAAATAAAAGGGGCCAATGAACATACATCTCCTAGCTAAGTTAACTTAGCGTAAAAAATAAAACAAAACAAGCCTAAACTACCCTATTTTGGGCGGGGCTGTCAGTGTTTAATACAGGGCTCCCAATATCCTGATTCCTAACCGGCATCAAAATGCCACTCTAAGTCAGCTTCTTTTACTTGACACAGGCGCGCAAGACTCATCCACCTTTTGCCAAATTCTGATTGAGGGAATCGTTTCCTTTCCGCCCTAATCTTGACTTTAAGCTGATGCCCAAAGAACAAGATTAGTTGGGAAGAGGAAAACTATTCGTCTCCATAGAAGTCCTTCTGTCGCGTCGACCATATCACGACTCGCATAACACCTGGTAAGCACAAGATCACATAGTGCTCCGCATTAGTTAACGACGTTACCACACTGCTACAAACATAACTGGCCCCAAGGACAAAGAATTTTCCGCGCAGAATGCAAACTATGATGTCTTTAACAAATTTGCACAACGGGACTACGACCGTGCAGTGGAAGATGGCGTGCCCAAGAGTCTCCACCGACTCACGGACGCAATTCTGAGAATTTCCAAAGCCCGCCGAAGAAAGTTTTTGCCGACACAGAGGGCCTTTCACATTACCAGGCAGGTGGGTGATGCCTCATTGTTAGTGAGGCATTTCAACCCAGGCGCTCAAGGCCATATGGAGCGAGCCTCCTGCTTCGTTCAACCGAGCTCGCCAATCAAATAATCCTGAACGTGCCCCTAACTAGCACTTACGGGTCAACGCCTGGACGTCGGAGAGGCAATTCGTCGCCCGTAAGAGGAACTTTAGAGCAATCAGACATTCACGGTAGAAGGAGCACTCGCCCGAGAAAAGCGGCGAGCCTCCTCCTCGCACAAAACTTCTCAGGGATGGGAAGTTCTTACGGGCGTCTTCCTTCTCTACCACTCGTCCCTTCAGCCCCTCAACCTCCGGCGTCTTGCTCTTTGGGTTGAGGTGCCCACTTGGTCTGAACCGAACTCAGGGGTAGCTGGTCGCACGCTCACTGAGTACCCGTAGATTGTTCGACCGGTCACTGGCCAAGTTCCGCCTGCTGCCCACGTTGTGTTAGTTTTTAGATCCAGTAAGCGGGGTGTTGTCCATACGTTCTCGGTCGATTGGGGATGTAGGCATGGCTGTGAGGGTGGGCAGCAGGAAAATTAGAATGTGGCAAACAAGTAAATAATATCTGCAGAAGCCGAACAACAATGGGTAAAATATTGATGTCTTTTTATATAAGAAAACAACAACAGTAGAAAGAGTTTACAGAAAGGATAGAAAAGCAATTAACATAAGAACAGAGGACCACCCCTCTACCCATTATTCCAAACAGAGAGGGTGTGTGTGATTAACTCGTTCCAAATCAACTTGGGAGGATATGTGACTCGTAATTCCAGACCTACGTGGAAGTGTAGCTTTTCAGTTGGTTGTCGTAAGTGACAAACGTTAAGTTTCAGCGACTTTTCAATGCGACTGCTACAACGACGATGATATTTCTTAAAGTCCTTATCACTGACTCGCCACTGGACCGACTCACTGCAACGACAGTCTCTCTCTCTCTCTCTCTCTCTCTCTCTCTCAACGTCACTCTCGTCTAACGCCCAAGACTCCCCAACTCAGCAAATCTCGCGTTCATATAGCAAACCGAAGGTTATAAGCCAGGTTGTTCACGCGCTTAACACGAGTGTCGCCATAAGTAAAGTTTAAATTCAGATCTATTTCAAATCTCTTAGTGGATAAAATTAATTAGTTCAATGTTCATTTCAATTGTCTTTTCGATGACCAAATTCAGCGGATACAACCTCCCAACCCGAACTCCAAACAAAAAAAACAAAAAACAAAAAAATAAGAATTATTTCCAGCATGCAAAGGTACAGTTTTCAGTTCTCCTTATGGTTCATCAGGTCCCTTTTAAGTGAAAGTTCACGGTCTGGCAACCTCTTGTCATGGAACCTTTTCCTCTAGTTCATTCATTTGAGTGTTCTCCCCCCACTTTTTTTTTAATTATTGGAGTTCGCAACACTCCTTACCAATTATTTTAGTCTCGTTACAAAAAAAAAAAAATTAAAAAAAATTCGATTTATTTCGTAAATCTGTCCCTCCGATTGTGTCTCGCCTTCACAACAGGCTTTGTCAAATCTTTTGTTGGTTCAGGTTCTTCCACGACAATCGTGGACTCTTCTTCAATATTAGTTAGGGGTTCTGATGCACTCTGGTCGGACCTACCTTGGTAAAGTGCACTAACTGGAATCCCTTCCTCACCTCTGCACTGCCCTGCCAGTTTTTTCTGCCCGGTCAACGATATCGTACGTCTCTTCATCCACCGCCAAACTAGCAAGGCTACGGCCATTGGTAATATAATTGCCCCAACGGTCGGCCATGTTATTATATCAACGAAGTTCTCTCTCCAGATAGGACTCGGTATATCTATCTTATCTAACTGTGACTTCAATCGTCCAAGATCAATTTTATCGATTGGCTTTAACAACGCTGGCATCTTTTCTAGAGACATCTTAGGAATCCCCCCAATAATGGGCTCCCACAATTCCGCCCATTCACTGGCATTCGTTCCTACTAGCCCTAATAAGGCCTCATTCTCTTCAAATGTCTCCTCTGCCCGGTAGTAGGGTGGGGGGCAAGGAGATAGATAGACCATGAGCTCCACAGCCAAGAGGTAGCTCTACAAAAAAACAAGACTTATTGTAGAAAAAAAAATACTTATTGTAGTAGTGGACTCCTCCGCACACAGCTTAGATAATTCAATCCCTTCTTGTGTAGCCACCGCCCAAACCCCGTCGGAGACACTGATGGCCTTCGGCAACATCACCCCGTCTAATAGCTCTACCTGACAATGATCCCTAATTCCCTTCTTATTTTTCTTAAACAAATCTAGTACGCACAGATCGTGGCTACCTGTCACATAGATTGGACTCACAGACCCACAGGTATTTAAGGCGTCATTCTTGCATCTTTCTGCTTCTCCCTTTGTTAAGAGCATAATCTTCGTCCTGGCCAGATTAAGGGCGACAAATTCCGTCTCCACTTTGTATCTAGCTACTGCTCTTACCTTCGGCTCTAGCTTTGGATAGGGAAGGGGGAGATTCATCACCTGGTAAATTTCAAAGGTACTACCTCTGTTCAGCAATGGCACTGACACAAGTACTACTAATTTATCATCCTCCAGCCAGGTAGTACATCCCAAGGCGCTATAATATTTCCATAGCTGCCGGGTGGGGTCGACCGGTAATCGAAGGTGCTGGGGTAGCTTGGCTTGTATCTCTAGCAGTACTTCCCTCAATCGTTCCGGAGTTATTATACTCGGGGACAGGTGTCCCAGCGACAGCATATCTAATTGTGCTCTCACATGCTCCAACAATACCGTTAAGGAATGACTTGTCAGGCGTACCTTACTCATTATAGCCAATAATTGAAAATATCTTTGCAAGAACCCTTCTAACTTCTGTAACCCTGTGGTTATAGACGTAGTTATATTCTACTCTAAGCGCTTGTAGGTGCGAAATTAGCCAATTAATATTCCTCTATTTTTAACTAATTCCAGCCTAGTGATGTTTAGTATGGATACACTTTCTCTAACCAACTGAGCCATGGCTTGTTGCTCCTGCTCTACCACTTTTAGTTTCCTCTTAATTACCTTCACTTCGCCTTCGGAGACTGTACCAAACAACACGCTCAATGCCTTTCCCATTATAGGTAGTACTGCCCTCTTCTGCCTGGTCCGTAAGAACTTTATTCCTTTCAAATAGTAATTCATGTCCTTCCATTGTCTCTCAATTATTAATGACTCTTGAGCTACGGGGTATAATATACGATGGTATACCGGCGTCTGCAAGTATTCTCTCGCAACTTGTATCCTGGTTGTATCTAGTTTGTCCACCTCAGCCCTCAACTGTCCCAGCAACTGCTCATACGGTCGTAGGTCTATTACCAACGTTATCAACCACTTTGATCGAGTTATAACCACATCGCTCGTCTTCTTAAATATAGTATTCTCACTGTGTTCCGAGGTATAAGCTACCAGAACCAGCATCATCAGTACCGTGAGCCTCCTCTCGTCCATGTCTGCAACATATGGAGAAAAGAATTCGTCTTACTCAATCATCCTGTTTTTGGTTTCGATTGGGTGGTTATATCTTAGAGCAACCCATCAAGTGCCGACCCGCACCACCACCAGTGCCGCGCATGCATGGGGGCCCTTCCACACAATCCACAACACCGATGTTAATGCCAGGTCAACCCCAGACTGTCGCTCATTCGGCACAACCATTGTACTGGTTTCACTTAATCTTTGAGCTAGGGCTGCAATTTCAGTGGTAATTCCCCATTAACACTAGGCGCTTCTCCAGCCCGCAATTCACTCTGCAATTGTGCTAACGGAATTTCATCCTCTTCTTCCCATTCACTCAGTTCCTCTTCTTCCCTAAGGTTAGGGTCAATTACTGCCTCCTCAGAAGGTCCCGCTGGGGTCCGCTTTGCCTCCCTCAGCCTTCGAAGGGTAGTTGGGCTAATTTCAATCTCTTCACTCCCTTCGCTTTCACTCTCCGTCTCCAGGTCTTCGGGTTCTACTAACGTAGTTCTCCTCAAGCTTTTCTGTTTAGTTCTTGTTTCGGCTCCTTCCCATTCTCCTATTTCATGCACTCTCTTTACTTTCCCGGTCACTTGGTCCCATATCACAAAGGAAACCGGACCCATCTGCTCTACTATTCTACAATATGGGCTCCATCTCTGGCCCAATTTACCTTCTCTCAAGTATTCTATAATATACTGGATCCCCGATCTGAAGGAGTCTTCTCCCCTGCCCTTGTTTATCCTGTCGTTTCGCCTCTTCTGGGCTCTCCAAATCCTTCTCCTCACCTGCGTAAACATTTTGTGCTGTTGTTCTAGGACTATTCCATGGTGATCCTCCCCTAAATACTTCCTCCTAGGTCGCAATAGATTGTCTATAGGTAAGACCACATCCCGGCCATATACTAAATAATAGGGGGAAAATTTTGTCGTCTCGTTTATGGAGAACCTCAGGGCCGCCAATGCTTGGGTTACGAATAAGTCCCAATTCTCCCTATTATCCTCAGCTAGTTTAGCTAACACATCAGCGAGGGTTTTATGAAATCTTTCCACTTTCGCATTACTTTGGGGATGATATGGGGAGGTGGTTATGTGATGTATGTTCAATTCCCTCAACGTCTCCCTCATAATTTGATTTACGTTCTCCGGTAACCAATTGTTCAGGGACCCGATATCTGGGGAATATTTCGTTCAGCACTATCTCTGTCCGGTATGGCAAATGCCTCAGGCCAATTCGTTAGCCAGTCCACAAAACTCACTTTTCTCACAGTTTCTCCATAGGGCCCGGAAATGTCCATGCTTACCTTCTGAAATGGGTAATTCGAGACATCCGTTTCTCATACGGGGCCTCCCTACTCCTTCGACTCTGTACTTGCCATGTTACGCATTTTTCTACATGGTCCACAACATCTTTAAACAACCTAGGCCAATAATAATTCCTCATTATTAATCCATATGTCTTATCAATTCCCATGTGTCCCAACTTCCTATGACACTGGTCCAGAACTTCGGCTCAGAACTTCTTAGGTATCACTATTTTTGGACTTACTTCCTCATCTCTACCTGCAAGGTAATGCAACATTCCATCATGCACCATATATTTGGAGGTACGCCCTGCCTCTACCTTGGATCTGATAGCTGCTATCTCTCTATCCTCTTGGCTTTGCCTAATAATGTCTCTCCAGTGGGGGTCGGAAATAATCTCTGTCTCCCTCGTTTCCTGATCCTCCCAACCAAGTCCTTCCCTCAGTGCCTGTGAGTTGATCACATTAATATGGAATGCCTTATCATCCACACCCGGCTCCAACCTGACAGATTCAGTCTCTAGTTGCTTCGGAATCCTTGATAACAGGTCAGCACAAGTATTATCCTTCCCTGCCAAGTATTCTATCTTGCAGTTATATCCACTTAGTTTCAACGCCCATTGATGTATCTTCTTATTCGTCCACTCCGCCTCTAATAAATATTTGAGGGGTTTGTGGTCTGTTTTAATGGTAAACACTGCCCCACTCAAATAATAGTTCAACTTCTGCACAGCATACAGGATAGAAAACGCTTCTTTCTTTATTACTGGCCATCTTTGCTGAGTATCGGAGAGTCGATGAGACAGAAAGTAAATCGGCACTTCCTCAGGCACACCTGGTACTGGACCATCCTTGTCGGGACATGGTTGTGTAAGAACCGCCCCGATACACTTATCACTAGCATCCGTGTATAGCACCATAGGTTTACTCAGGTCTGGGTAGGCCAACAGGGGTATAGCTGTCAGCTGGTCCTTTAGAACCTGGAACGCACGCCGACAATCCTCGGTCCACTTAAACCTAGCATGCTTCTTAGTTAACGCTATTAGAGGGCCTGTCAGTCGACTAAAGGCTGGTATGAACCTCCGATAATATCCGATGGCTCCAATAAATCCCCTGATCTCTCTTACGGTTTTTGGTGCAGGCATGGCCCTTATAACCTCTACTTTGTCTAGATCCGTCTTTATCCCTTCTTTATTTATGATGAACCCTAAGTATTTCGTCTCTTCTTTCATAAACTGGCACTTTGATAATTTCAGCTTTAGTCTATGTTCTTTTAACCTGTTGAACACCTGCAGATGTTCCAAATGTTCCTACGGGGACTTCGAAAACACCATAATGTTATCCAGATATGCCATGGAAAAGGCCTCCGTGCCATTTAGCACGATGGACATCAACTGACAAAATACGCCCGGGGCGTTCACCAACCCAAACGGCATAACTCTGAAATTGAAGAGACCCATGTGACAGGTAAAGGCGGTCTTTTCCTGATCCTTTCGACTAAGGGCCACCTGCCAATGTCCCGATCTCAAATCTAAGGTGGAAAAACATTTCGACTTCCCCAAAAGAGCTAGAATATCATCAATCAAGGGAAGGGGCACTGCCAGCGGTCTTGTAATGGCGTTTAATTGATGAAAGTCCACGCAAAACCTATGCCCTCCATCTTTCTTTTCCACAATGACTATGGGAAAACTCCAGAGAGATTTGGATCTCTCGATTATCCCTGATTCCATCATTTCACTTACTGCGTCCTCTATTAATTTTCTTTTGTGGATTGGGGTTCTATACGGCTTCAACTTAATAGGTGGGTGGTCACCCGTGTCTATCTTCATTTCTACGGTCTCTGTCTGTCCCAATTCTTTGTCAGTAATGGCTATTACTTCTCGATTACTGTTCAGCAACCCGCTCAATTTTCAATTTTCCCCTATAATGTTCGGAGGCTATTATATCCTCTTCCTTTATTTCATCGCTACCTATCTTCTCTCCAGTCCTATTCTTATTCCATACTCTCACCTGTTCGACTTTTCTCACTGGGCACGCCTGTGCCAGCTCCTCTCCCAGCTTTATTTCAATAGTTTTATTGGCAGTATTGGTTAACAGTAAGGGAACGGTCCTTGACCCCCTCACTAGCGAATCGCATACGGTTATCTCTCAGTAGGGGCTACTTGATACAGGTCGATGTTAAGAACTCCCTCTGTTACAATTTGGCTTTTCCCAAATACAGTGGTCCTAGGGGGAGCTTTATATCTGTTTGGGCCACCACTGACAATTGTTCATAATTATCCTCTCCCAACGGTATCTCTACTCCATCTACTGTTAGGGTGGCGGGGTCAAAACTGATTTGTGCCTTATTCTGCTTAAGCCAGTCGCCCCCCCCCCCAAAAAAAAAATTAGTTCACCGCACAAATCTGGTGCCACATAAACCTTAAGCTTGCCAACTGGAAAGGTAGCCACGTCATCCCCTCTATTCTCATCCTGCTACTATCAGCCTGACTTATTAGTAGATCGACAGGACTAAGCTTTGTCTTCAGTCCCAACTGCCTAAAAACCCTGGAGCTAACCAGCGACACTGAAGCTCCCGTATCGACAAGGGCCTTCACCTTCTTGTTTCCCAACAACACATCACAGGTGAAATCTGGCCCTTCCTTCAGCAAACGGTATACCTGTGCCTTTCTCCTTCCCGTATGTTCTCCACTTTTTCCTTGTCTTCTCGTCAACCGAGACATGGGAGTCGGTGACAGGAGTTCAACTTTTTCTAGTGGCTTCCATTTCTGTCTAGGGGCCCTCCTGGGTGGGGTAGAGCTCGGATGACTGTCTTTGCTTGGACTAGCAACCCATTCCTTCCCTCTATTCGAGTTAGGGTTGTTTCGTTCAGTGTGGTCCATCTTTCTCCTGCGAGGACAGGTTCGTCTCAGGTGACCCGCTCCTCCACAGCACCAACACCTTCGCTCATTACAACTTGCCGAAAAGTGTCCGACCATGCCACACGTCCAGCATCTCAGTGGTCTTACTCGCACTGGGACCACCCTGCATCTTACTTTTTCACAGGTGACCCATTGGCGTTTCCCGGACCCCTTTCCTTTTTGGGAGGAGGCACCAGCGTATTAACTCGCTTTATCCCTAGTTTGCGGTCCCCTTCCATCGTACACCGAACTCGCCACAAGTCGTACAGTTCGGCCCCAGAGATCTCGGGTCGCCTCCATAGTTTGTCGGACAGTCGCGGGCCCGATGCCCACTGTATTTGCAAGCCCAACACACCAGCCCATATCGGCTCGGTGTGGGCTTGAAAAAACCATAACGCAAATCCCAGGCCTTACTATTGGGGTCAGCCTCCACCTCCCAGTCCTCTTCTACCTCCTCTTTCGAGTCCCTTATCCGGATCCGCTCCCGATACTTCTCTTTTATTATTACCTTGCCCGAGCCGTTTCCATGGCTGCGTCCAGGGTGACCGGTCCTCCTTTCACAAGATCGCCCCTCAAGTCCCTGTCGTTTAGTGCATCTACCTATACATCGGCTAACAAGGCCTGAATAGGGCCGCTGTTCCGAGTCGCCAACTCCAGAAAGGCTAATGCTGCTAGCCCTGCGATCCTTTCTCCAAATTCTTCATTTATCTCTCCTTCTTATTGCTGCAGCCGGAATAGTTTCCTGACTGCCTCAATGCATGTACGCCCAGTTGCGTACTGCCGTACCAGAGAGGATTTAAACTCTGTCCATGTCGCGGCTGGGTTTTCTTTGTGCCATGCCCCTATAAACTTAGACACCTGCCCGGCTGCGGCGTCGTAAGCCAAGAGCACCATCTCCTGATCTGATAAGCCATAAATCAACTGCTTCTTTTGGATGGAGAGAATCCATTCATGCAGGTCTGCAGGGTTTCCTTTATAAGTGGGTAGCTTCATACTACCTATCAGCCTTCTGAAACATATCGTTATTTCGGGAACCCTCTCGTCCCTAAGGTCGGTTGTGGCGTCTGATTCTGCTACACTCATCCTACCACTTTCCCACGAGAAGAGAGATTAACGACAAACAAGGAAACTATTTAACACGGCGGTGGCGCTTCAACTGCGTACAGAGTCGACAAAAATCAACAATATTACTGGCAGATCTAAGTGCAATGAGTGAGTAGAGGAAACCAAAAAGTGACTTACCTGAGGTACGCTGCTCCGTGTTTTGTTTCCGTTTCATGTCTTTTTTTTTTTCTTTTTTTTACTAATATCGTCCGCAGACTAGAGTTCTTTCTGGTCTTAATGACTAGATGCAACAAAGTCTGTTTTGCTGGTGTTTACTTCCTTTCTTCCTGAGTATAACTTAAGGCTGGCTTTTCTTCAAAGCTGTTCCTGGCCTTATTTTCCGTGGTAACGCAAGGTGAATCCTGGTGAATGGCAACCAAATCTACCACTCGTCTCTTCAGCCCCTCAACCTCGGGCGTCTTGCTCTTAGGGTTGAGGTGCCCACTCGGTCTGAACCGAACTCAGGGGTAGCTGGTCGCACGCTCCCTGACTACCCGTAGATTGTTCGACCGGTCACTGGCCAAGTTCCGCCTGCTGCCCACGTTGTGTTAGTTTTTAGATCCAGTAAGCGGGGTGTTGTCCATACGTTCTCGGTCGATTGGGGATGTAGGCATGGCTGTGAGGGTGGGCAGCAGGAAAATTAGAATGTGGCAAACAAGTAAATAATATCTGCAGAAGCCGAACAACAATGGGTAAAATATTGATGTCTTTTATATAAGAAAACAACAACAGTAGAAAGAGTTTACAGAAAGGATAGAAAAGCAATTAACATAAGAACAGAGGACCACCCCTCTACCCATTATTCCAACAGAGAGAGGTGTGTGTGTGATTAACTCGTTCCAAATCAACTTGGGAGGATATGTGACTCGTAATTCCAGACCTACGTGGAAGTGTAGCTTTTCAGTTGGTTGTCGTAAGTGACAAACGTTAAGTTTCAGCGACTTTTCAATGCGACTGCTACAACGACGATGATATTTCTTAAAGTCCTTATCACTGACTCGCCACTGGACCGACTCACTGCAACGACAGTCAGTCTCTCTCTCTCTCTCTCTCTCTCTCTCTCTCTCTCTCAACGTCACTCTCGTCTAACGCCCAAGACTCCCCAACTCAGCAAATCTCGCGTTCATATAGCAAACCGAAGGTTATAAGCCAGGTTGTTCACGCGCTTAACACGAGTGTCGCCATAAGTAAAGTTTAAATTCAGATCTATTTCAAATCTCTTAGTGGATAAAATTAATTAGTTCAATGTTCATTTCAATTGTCTTTTCGATGACCAAATTCAGCGGATACAGCCTATGTTTAGATCAGATTTCGCTAGCGGTAAGCATACACTGATCTTACCTCCTCGGTTCAATTTACTTCAATATGTTTTTATCAAAAATATTATTTTCGTCTATTTTTTTTAATGACCCAAATTAAACATCGCCTTCTGCCCTTTTGCATTTGTTTATAAACAAGTCCTCGCCAACCCGATTTGAAATTTATTCTTTATCCATCAGCCGTCTCCGGTTTCATATATCATTGTTCTAGATTCTTTCCTATTAATAGCGCTGACACAGTTTGTAACTTTCACGGAAGATCGTGTTTTCCATCTTCGATCAATAAACGTTATATTTGCGTGTGTGCATTCATGTGCATCAACGTCTCTCTGTTACACTTCCATAATTCGACATTCCCATCCAATTGCAAACACATCCGGTCTAGAAAAGAGATGCGAAGCGTATGTTGAAGAAACTCAACGCTTGGCATACCCAGATCGCCTTTAGAAGGGTGGAGGCAACAGATCTCCCGACATACCTCGGGAACTTTGCCTTCCCACAAGAATGAGAACGACCCTATCTAATTGCATTAGTATGGCATACAGGAGTATAAGTACGGAGAGTCGTAAAGGAGAATTGGGTATATACATACTTCCGCCTTCCCCTTTAAGGAAAGATTTCCACGAGACGGCAGATAAACTGCACCACCGAACTTCTTCTAAACCTCCGACCAATTCATTTCCAGCAGAAATCGGGACCGAATCAGATGCCGAGTATCTTGACCGGCCTGTTCGTCCAGAGGAAAGGCCCGGGATGAGAAACTCCCTTCCACGCACCCAACCGCAAGCCAACAGATTTATCCTGGTTGATCTTGGTCCCTGTCACCGTCTCTTACTCCATTCACTTCTACCAGCGCACCGGGGTATGCATACAGAAATCGGATCCAGGTACGAAAGCGGCGGCTGAAAGCACAGCCTCCAGAAATCGAGGCTCAACCCTATCAAACGCCTTGGACTGATCTAAATTGATCAATGCGGCTTCACTATCCACTTCTCCTTGATCAAGCGTACCAAATGAAGGGTGTTTTGAATAGTCCTACCCTTTACAGCACATCTGTTCGGCGCCAACACAGATAGCCTGAAAATCGTGGCTAAAATCTTCAACTCTGTATTTAACATCGTCAAAAGCCGAAAGATACCTATTCCATCCTCATTGTTCTTGTTTTTGCGTAGTAACTTGATCACACCCCTGGTGAAGCTTGAGGTATGGACCCTTACTTCATCCAATTGTAAATCAGTTCCAGCAAGAGAACAAGAACGGGCGACTGCCTCAAGTACTGTCCGTAAGGAAGACTATCTAATCCCGGTGTTTTGTTCCGGCCAACAAGCTTCAGCGCACCCACCCGCTTCATCCAAAGTTGGCCAAATAGATGTAGAAATGAGCATGGGTTCCCTGGTAAACAGATCCTGAAAGTAGTCTCGAAAAGATTAAATAAATTAACGAAATGGCTTCATATCCGGGTTGTTAGTACTCGATCTTTCCCCTATACGATCTATGTCGGGGTCAAAGACGGCATTCCAATCGCCCGCTAAAACGACACGATAAGATGTTATCAAAAACGGTTTTTATGGTAATAACATGCTCGCCGGATCTGCGAAAGCAAGAACACACGCCGCATTCAAAGACTTGCTCACTAGCCGGGAAAAACTTCTCGAGCGTCCTGAAGATCGCGAGTGAGACTCGCCCTGCGAGACTCCGACGGCCACGGAGACATAGAGCCATGATCAGTCCGATTAGGGTTGGGCATCTGCTTTAAACATGGTCGGGGAAGGACACCAATAGTCTCTCCCATTGACACTTGAACCATCTCATTCTTGATAGTACCGTCTTGGGAGAGACCACCAATGTTCCACGGATAAGTTTTAAAGAGAGAGAGGTAAACTAAAACTGGGACCCTCCCTGAACAAAACTGTTTCAGCTTATTAATTTCTTCATTTTCGATGATGGCAATTGGGGGTGAGACTTCTAGTTGATGGCCTCCTCGACTATATCTCATGTCTGCCGCGATCCCGACCCATTTCGGACGACTGTGAAATCACATTTTGCACCCGGAAAGTTTTGGGGCTCTTCTACGTCTTATCACCTTTTATATGGTTCCTATAGTTTTTTTTTAATAGACAAATGATATGGTATTTGAGCCTTTGCCTTTATATGTTTTTTAGAGGAAGGACTGGGATAGGGTTTTTTTTTCATGAAGGGACGGGGAAATGCTGAACAGGACGTTTTGCAGAGAGAGTAAATGATATTTGGTAATTTTGCCTTTTGATTTTTTTGCCTTTCAAGGACGTTGGTTTTAGAAGGGTCTGGAGGCATTTTCTAAAGGAAAAATTTGTTTTAAATAGAGGAAGGTAAAATATAACAATTGTGGCACTGGAATATACAAACAATCGTGATATTTCAAACAAGGAAAAAAAACGAGACATATATAGATCAAAACAATACAACATTTATATACAATTAAACATTTACAAACTGGAATAATATTTGTATGAGTTGCGTGCGTAAATTGTATGTGTATGCTGAAATGGTTAATGTCTCTTGTATCGTAATGTTTGCTATTTTTTTTGTTTGTATCAAAAATTGTAATAATAAAATTAAGAGTTTTTTGCAAAAGAGTTTGTCAAAGTAGTCTACCCTTAATCGTAGTTTGTATTTGTATTCGCTTTCGTATTTCTTATTTTTGTAATGATTATAAATCAATATGCATAAGAAATTAAGTGAAAAGTTTCAAGAGTCGTTCGTCGAATGTTCGAAGTGAGTCAGTGAATGTTCTTTGAAAAGCGCGGCAAAATTATGGTTCGAAACGTCGTGGAGTATTTAGGCAATTGCTCGGTGAGTTAGCTAGACTGATTATTTATTGCACATAAGTACAAATGTGGCACAAGGCCGAAAAAGGGGGTTGGGGTAAAGGACGGTCATCACTTGTCTTAGACTAAAAACTTAGCTAGCCACAATCACTGACCCTATCATACAGAACAATAATCCTTTCACCAAAACAACACATTTATCCATACCTTTCTTACAACAAACACCAAAATGCCTCTTTGACTCCATGAAAAAACCTAAATAATCCCCTTATGTACAAAGTATTGTCTGTGGGGGAGGGGCATAAAAACAACAACTTTTAAAAATGAACCCCAATGAATATATACAAAAATGACAAAATATATTTACAAGAAACCAAATAAAATTTGTATTAGTAATAAAACCCCCCACAAACTCTTGAATGTGGCAGAAATATCAGTTAACTGGACGAAATCGATGCGGAACTTATGAAAATAAGGCCACACTCATTCTTCCCAAGCATTCACACAGGCACACACTCATTCATACACAACAACAAATACGAAAAACACACACACGAAACGAAAGGCGCCCCGCATCTACCAGAGAACTGACATCACTGACCACCTAAAAAACGAGGGAGGGGATGGGGAGTTAAACCAAAGGAAAAAAAAAAAAGGGGACGGAAATAAAAAGGGACCAATGAGCAAATACACCCTAGCTAAGTTTACCAGAATCGGAAAAAAAAAAAACTAAAAGAAAAAATCCAAAAACCTAATCTAACCTAACTCAGGGATGGGTTACCTATGTTTAACCCAGGAAAAACAATATCCTTAATGCCTAACCGGCATCCAAATGCCACTCAAGGTCAGCCCCTTTTACTCGGCACATTCGCGCAAGATTCACCCACCTTTTGCTGAATTCCGATGAGGTGAGCCGCCGCCTTTCCGTCCTGATCTTGACTTTAAGCTGATGCTTAAAGAACAAGATCAGTTGGGAAGAAGTGAACTTCTCGCCCTCATGGAATCCCTTCTGACGCGTCGTCCAAATCACGACTCTCATAACCCCTAGTAAGCAACAGAACACATAGTGTTCAGCCTTCGTCATCTGCGGCACCACATTGCTACAAACAGAACTGGCTTCCAGGACAAAAAACTTTCCGTGCAGCATGCGAACCATGAGGCCTTCAACAAACCTGCACAACGGCACTACCGCCTCGCACTGAAAGAAGGCGTGACCAATAGTCTCGACCTTCCCCCGCACAACGACGACAGTTTGGATATTTCTCCAAGCCTGCTGCGCAAAGTCTCTTGCCGACCCAGAGGGCTTCACGAATCACCAGCCAGGTGAGTGATGCCTCATCGTTATTGAGGCATTTCAACCCGGGCGCCCAAGGCCATATCGAGCGAGCCTCCTGCTTCGTAAGACCGAGCTCGCCAATCAGCTCATCTTGTACGGACCCCTAACTAAAACTTGATATAATGCCTTACGAGACAACGCCTGGGCGTTGGAGAGACCATCCGAAGCCCGTAAGAGGAGCTTCAGCGCGCGACGACATTCACGATAAAAAGGGCACTCGGCACGTGGAGTACGGCTGGCCTCTTCTTCGCACGAGTGCACACTTTTCAGGGACGGAAAATGTTTCTGGACGTCTTCTTTCCAAAAGGCACCCTCCTCATTCGACCCACGACACATTCGGTCCAGAAAGGTAATGCGAAGCATATATTGACGGATCTCAATGCTAGGCATCCCCAGACCGCCCTCAGAGGGATGGAGGCAACAGACCTCGCGAGATACCATGGGGGTCTTGCCCTTCCATAAGAAAGAGAACAAGGTCCGGACTAATGACATTAGCCGGGCATACGGGAGTGGAAGCACAGAGAGTCGGTAGAGGAGGATCGGATAGATGTGTGAAACACATACTTCCGCCCTTCCCTTCAGGGAAAGTCTCCTCCGAGACCACAGATTAACCGCGACCTCGGCCTTCCCTTGTACCTCCGACCAGTTCATTTCCAACTGGAGATCAGGACCGAACCAGACGCCGA